TAAAGCCCAGTTCTGCCATTTACTAGCTAAGGAACCAAATGTCCCTAAGTCTCCATTTGTCCATCCCTAAAGGGAGTAACAGCGTAGTTAATTCACCGGAGGAAAGAATGTATGTGATAATACCTAACATACCACCTGGCACCAATTGGCACTTAATCTCACACGGGATCAGGGGGTGTATTATTTTTGCTTTTACAGAACTCAAAATCTGTCATAGGAAGAAAAGATCTAATTTATTCTAAATACCCCTCAAAAGATGGAATAAGTTCAAACAGATGGCAGCAGAGAGAGCATTTTCATTTGAATAAGAGGAAGAATCTTAAACCAGACATCCAACAACGCACTGGAGGTCACCTTAGGAGCTAACAATCCCTCTGCCCCTGGTGGTGGGCAAGAAGAATTTGGTCAAGGACCTGGGAGAAAGGTGATAGGATCCAGTCAACAGATGAGGAAACTGGACAAGCTGCCTATGATGGGCGTCCTGCAGCCTGCAGATGCAAAGGGCCTATCATAGTCGTGATTACTTGGCAAAACTGTATGTGATCACCCTTAAGCTATAACCACAATGAAGCTTTGGCTCTTTTATTTGTACTGTGTTTTGTTTTATGGTAAGAGCACTTAACGTGAGACCTGCTCTCCTAATAGATTTAAGTGTATTATACAATATTGCTACAGATTGGCGCAGCGTTATACAGCAGACCTCCAGAATGTGTTCCTCTCGTATAAGTGAAATTTTGTACCCAATTTTAAAATGAGACTTTGTTTAATTTATCCTTCTTTATCCTTGGGGCTGACTTGCCCTTTTTTTTCTTTGTCTTTATAGCATCAAGAGCAGACTGTGCCCCTGACAACTCAGCCACCGGGCAGGTGAGGCCAGCTCCAATTGGCCTGGACCTGCTAGTATGCAGTTACAGGAAAAGCTTCTCCTTACGTTACAGTTTCAACCAAGAGATGGTATCAATTCTGATTTTTTTTTTAATTTTACTATAAGCCAAACTTAAAAAAAAATTGAAGATACCCTCATCTCTATCAGAACACAGCCAGAGTTAACTAGTAGTGAGCCTCCAGTAACTGGGAGTGTACAAGCTAAGGCAAGTAGACAGCAGAAGAGAGCCAGCGTGTGTGAGTTTGTCCCAGGAGGCCTGAGTTGCTTTCAGCAAGCATCTTCACAACCACAATGGGCTGGCAGGGCCACCCTCAAACACTCTCTGGGCATCTGCCAGTACTTCTCATTACTGGTGCCAGGATGCCAGCCCTGCTTTCAGCCTCTCATGAGTGTTCCTAATAACTCCTGAGAGTTATTAGTTACCACCAAAATGCCGATGGCCTCTGACCCAGGCATCCTATTACTTAAGAATAATCTGAGATACATCATTGCCAAATGGAGGAAATCTTGCACAAACAAAAATGCTCAGCACAGTAGCAGGAAGGGACTGGCCCACCTATCATGGTCCATCCACTTGCAGGAATGTGAAGCAGCAATACAAAGCAAAACTCAGCAACACCATAAAGCAAGGGGTTGACTTTACTAAATAAGAAAGATGAGAATGGTCATGTCACATGATTCATTCATGTATTCATTTATTCACTCACTCATTGATTCAACAAACCTCGTGCGGGCCTCAGGCAAAACACAAAGAGATGTCGGTCAGGCCGCCTGGCCTTAGGTTGATTGTTGTGGACACCAACTCTTCCCCTCAAGACATCCACACATGCGCACACACCCACAAAGACACATATATGCACATACACGTGCACACAGACACACACGGGCACACACAAATGCTGGATCCTAGGTGGGAGTTCTGACAGGTGAATCCCTCTGTGTCCCATTGCCTCTTGAGACCTGTGCTTGAGACTCAGCTCTGTCTCAAAATGCAAATCTGGCAGGTCATTCCCACTTCCCAGGACCCGTTCTGTCCCCTGATCTGTGAAATGGGAGAATGGTACTTTTTCCACCTGACTAGAGCTTGGTCCTCCTTAATTTTGCAGTTATCTTTATCTGGTAACCTGGTATGTCTTGAATTCTTGAATAGGGGATTGGCTGAAAAAAAACAAAAGAAGAAATCCTCAGGGAACTTTCTCACCCTAAAATATTCCTGTGGGTTTTTCTCAATTTCTGGTTTTCTTTGGGAGGCCTGCGTCACTCTTAGCGTGTGGGAAAAGGCCTTTATTGAAACAAAAATGAGCTTTAACTCCAGCTTCCTCTTTATGCCCTCTGCCTATCCCCAGGTAAACAAACTCTGATCTTTCATTTCCTTGTCTCTAAAACTGAGATATGAATGACACACATGTAGCCCATGGTCCTGGCCTGTAGTAACCACACGACCTGTGCTGACCTCTATCAAAAACATCATAAGCACCTCTGAAGGAAGAGAAGGACGCAGGAGGGAACCAGCAGACTCTTAAGGCTGGAAGTGAAGTTCTTGGTAATTGCAGCACCTCAAGCTAGGAAGGACCTTAAAAGCTCAACTGGCTCAAGCAGTCCAGGGTCACAACAGCCCTGCAACAGCCATCCAGTCTTTTTGAATGCCTCCTGTAGTGGGGAAATCACTCCTAAATGAATCAATCTGTCCTGCCTTTGGAAAGGTCTTCCAGCTGAACTGGAATCTAACATCCAGTGAAGCTTCTCCACTCATCCTTTTTGCTGGATGCTTTGGAGACGAAGAGAGCAGACCAGCTGCCCCTTCAACAGGGCAGGCCTCCAAATGGCTGAGGCCACTGCCTTCTCTGCACTAGAAGACCTTCCTATGGTAGTATCCTTCCACATAAGCTATGACTTCTATTCTCAGGAAATTCTGATTTGTCTCCTCTAAATGCACTTCCACTTATTTGTGACCCTCTTACAATGGAATCAGAGAGAGATAACCCTGATTTTCTAGCCCAGAGCAAGCAAGCTCCCAGGTCTGCAGAGGCCCTGCAGGTCACACAGATGACAGTGGATGACCAGAGGGCACATGCCTTATCTAAAGTGGGTGGCTAATCCTCATCCTGGCCATTGACAGCCTTGCAAGGATTCAAGCCAAAAGAGAAGCCAGAGACTAAGAATTGTAACACAAAATCTCCTAATCATTTTATGTTGGCAAGTAACATAAACATCACACAAAGCTTTAAAACTGTCTGTGGACTGGATCCATCTAGGGACCATTTACTTAATCATTTTGTAGGTATAAAACCTTTTGTGAATCTGATGAAAGTTTGACCGAGCCACAGAAAAACCAGATACAAACAAAATTCTGCTCCAAACATTTTAAAGGATGCATGGGGCTGAATGCAGTGGCTCACGCCTGTAATCCTAGCACTTTGGGAGGCCGAGGTGGGTGATCATGAGGTCAGGAGTTCAAGACTAGCCTGGCCAACATGGTGAAACCCTGTCTCTACTAAAAATACAAAAGTTAGCTGGGTGTGGTGGTAGGTGCCTATAATCCCAGCTACTCAGGAGGCTAAAGCAGGAGAATTTCTTGAACGCGGAAGGCGGAGGTTCCAGTGAGCCAAGGTTGCACCACTGCACTCCCACCTGGGTAACAGAGCAAAAGGGAGAAAGGGAGAAAGGGAGGAAGGAAGGACGTAAGGAAGGATGGATCAATCCCTGGGAGCCACTCCTGGATCCCAGGAAAGAAAATCCTCATTGAATCCAACATCTTGTCTAATAAGACAGACCCAACAACATCAAAGCGACAATTTCCTGCAGTTGCGCAGCATCCCAGTAGCACAGCAACAAGGACACCTAGAATGAGGTGAGGGTGCTTCCTGCTGAAGCTCCCCAGGTTTGTGAGACAGAAGCAAACTAAGGTATATTGTATGCCCACCACCTACCAGATGGCTCTCCTGTTACCCATCTCTATCCCTTCCATCAGCTCCACTGGCAAGAGAAAACTGGGTCTCACTGAGGACAGCCACTTGACCCAGGGCAACCAGACAGAGCCACAGAGTTAGCACTGGAAGACAAGATGAGCAGCAAAGCTCACAACCTTCACCTGCACCTTACATGTAGCCCAGCAGCGCACTCCATGCAGCCTCTGACAAAAACAAAGCCCTGCCATTTCAAATTCCCTGGGAACAACTCTTTGAACTCAACCAGGTGGAGTCTGAAGATGTGGCCTTCAGCCTTCCATGATTTGCCTGGTAGAAATCATCAATGAGAGACAGATTAGGCGTGAGAATGACCCATGTGTATATAGAAGTGTGGGCATGGGACTCTGGAAGATGACAAGTGGTGGAACTAAGTTCTGAGGAGGGGGACCCAGCACACAGCTGTGGGACAGGCTGGCAGGCGGGGCCTCCTTCTGCAGATGCCGAAAAGTGTGTCCACCTGTCATCCCTCAGTCTTGCCTTGAGCGGGGAGAAGTGAGGACACATTTTCCAATAACACAACTAATTCAAATTGTTATGCAGAGGCTAGGGGAAGGACAAAACACCTCTCTGACCTAGATCGAGGAGGTGGGGGTGGTTGGGGGGTGGTTATAAAATACTCAAACAAGAACAAGAGCTAAATCTGGATCAAGAAAGTGAAGTTCCTTAACAGTAAATGTAAAACCAAAGAAAGGCTCTTCTTTCCCCACTCCCTGCTCCATTTCCCCGGCATCTTTTTCTCCTTTTATCCAATCTTCTTGCTGGGAAGTTTAAAGAGCTGGTACACCTCAACAACTTTAACGTATTATAGCAACGAGAAACAAGCTCTCGCATCGGACGCTTGGCGGCCACCGCTGGGCTCCTGGCTGCTGAGCTGGAATCAAACAGGTGTGTTCTCACGGACTCCCCTCGATTTTGCTCTTAAGTTCAGCCAAGGCGCAGGCACATCTGCTTCCAACTATAGTCACTCCCTAAAGAGCGAAGTGTGCTCAGGCTTCAGAAAGAAAAGGGTCTGTATTTGGAGAGAACACTCTCCCCAGCCCGCATCCACCCCCCACCTCGCCCCTCACTGTCACCTGGGAAGATGACGGTCAGTTGAAGTCTGTGACCTTCAGCACCTGCAGCAAAGAACAGAACCCGGGTCTTACCTGGCGGGGAGCACTCAGGATGCCAGCAGGGGTCCAGTCCTGGGCCCAGGCCCACTGGAAGCAGCCGCTGGGAGAAGACACCAGCCCCAGGTGTCCCTCCTGGGGGTCACCTGCCAGCCACTCGCCCACTCTCCCCCCAGTAATCTCACAAACTCAGACTCTAAACAAGACTTGCAGTAGGTCGGGAGGCTTTCCCCAGGCCGGGGGGCCAGAGAGAGAACTGGCTTGAAAACAAGTAACTAAATACATGCAGTTCGAAGGAAAGGCTTGAAAGTTACAGAATGAAATAGAAAGTGTGTGAGAAACAGAACAGGGACAGCGGGGAAGACACTTCCTTGCGGAGAAGCGCCGCAGCCTCGGCCAACCCCGCCACTGCCCAGGAACAAAGCTGCCTGGAGCCTCCCCAGGGGCAAACTGGCCCCGGCGCTGGGATTCCCCGGCTAAGAGCGCGGGGCTGGGGAGGAGCTGGGGCTGGGGCGGGCCTAGGAGCGCGGGGCGGGAGCGGGCGGGGGCCCAGCCGGGAAGGAGGAGGAAAACCAGGGGGGCTGGGAGCGGGGAGGGGCCGGAGGGACAGGGGCGGACCCCGGAGGAAATGAGAGAGCCTGACTAGGCCCCGGGCAGTGGCGAGGGGCTGCGGGGAAAGGTGGGCAGGGACCTGGGGAGGGTTGTGGGGGACGGGACAGTAACGAAGCTGCCCTGGGAAGCCCAAAAGAGGGGCTGACAACTTTCTGTCCAATTACAGGCTTCACTGAATGCTCGGCTCCCTTTTCCAGCTGGTCTGAAATAGCCCACCGACTAGTGCCGCAGCTGCCCGAAACTTTGGGAAGTTTGGCGCCTGCAGCGCAGGGGGATGCTGGGGAGGGGGCGCGCTTCGCTCTTTGTCCAGATCTGAGACTCCCCCACCTGTCAGAGCAGGTAACCCTCACCCCCTCTGTGCCAGAGGCTCCACCTACAGGCAGCCCTGTTCACTGGCTGTGACTTCAGTTCTGGGGACAGGGGCCTGTGTCCTTATTTTTGGAGTGAGGACAGTGAAGCCTCGGAGAGAGCCTTTATCGCCTGCCAGCGCCCCCAGCAGAGCAGGGCTGTGGGCCCGGGTTGGCCTGATGAGGACACTCGCCTGGCTAATGAATGGGCTTCCCAGCCCCCGAAGGCAGACTGCGAACAGGTGGCCCAGCGCACCCTTCTACTTTTTCTTTCTGAGCACTGTTCCTAAAATGGGCCAGCCAGGAGTATTTAGAAGTAGATGAGAACATGGCTTAATCTGTGTGACCTCCCCCACCCCCAACTCCCAATCTGTCTCCTAAACTCCGGGGTGTCTTTATTTGGTCGCCTGTTGGGTAGCAACGATTTCATAAACAGGCAGTATCCGGCTCCTCTGTGACCCAGGGAGCTCTCAAAATTCCAGACCCTTCTTCCCTCTCTGGTCTTGCTTTCTAGCCACTCTTGCGGAATTCATTTCACATGTGTTGATTGAACACCTCCCCCGCCACGCCCCACCCCGTGTCAGGTGCCCATCAAGTAGAGGAGAGGGCTGGGCCTATCACGAGTGAGGTGAGGGGCTGAGATGAGTGCCCTGCTTGTCAGTTACCAGGATGGGGGGAGGCAGAGAAGAAAGTGATTGCACCTGTGAGAGCCCAGTGTGCACGCCTCTGGGCGTACTAGTGTCAGAGGCAGTGAACCAGAGCAACTCTATCTTGAACATCGGCTGGGTAAAATGAGGCTGAGACCTACTGGGCTGCGTTTCTAGGAGGTTTGGCGTTCTTAGTCACAGAATGAGATGGGAGAGCACAAAGACCCCACTAATAAACAGGATGCAATAAGGAGGCTGGCCAAACCCACCAAAACCAAGACGGTGACCTGTGGTCATTCTCACTGCTCATTATCTGCTAATTATAATGCATTACCATGCTAATAGACACACCAGTGCCTTGACAGGTTACAAATGTCATGACAATGTCCAGAAGCTACCCTGTATGGTCTAAAAGAGGAGTTCCTCAGTTCTGCGAAATCTCCTCCCCATCTCCAGAAATCGTGAATAATCCACCGCTTGTTTAGCATATAGTCAAGAAAGAAGTGTAAGTGTATTCAGTCAAGCAGCCCGAGCCACTGCCCTGCCATGGATAGCCATCATTTTTTTTCTTTTACTTCTCTAATAAACTTGCTTTCACTTTATGAACTTGCTCTGAATTCTTCTTCTGGGGCCTGAATTGGGATCCTTTTCCAGTAACACTAGTGAGAACACAGAAAAGAGGGATGAGGCCACCACATTAAATTACAGCGAGTTGTAGTAAGTGCTGTGAAGAAAGCAAAAGACAGATGAGTCCGAGGAGAAAGTGCGGGGCAGAAACCCTCGATTCAGGACTGAGGAGAGGCGTGCTGAGGGGTGGAGGACTGAAGGATGGGCAGAGCCACCATGCAGAGGAGGAGGCCCTGGAGCCTGGGAGCTCACGAGGCAGAGAGAAAGACTTGAGCCCATGGAGACTCGAGTCCCCTGTGTCCTGGGACTTATAGAGGGCCATGGCCAGGGACAAGGCTGGGTGGGGAACAGGGCACAGATGAGGGGCCTGGCAAGGCCTGCTGAGGGGACAGACTTGGTCTTGAGGACCAGGAGTCTCAGAAGTGTCTTACAGGGGCAGGAGGATGGCCAGGGCGGGGCCTTGCAGAGTCAGCTGGCAGCGGCAGGGTTGGGAGGTGGTGGGGGCGGTGACCTGGGAGACTACGCAATTGAATAACTTCTGGAACACCAGAGAGAGAGAAAGAGGGAGGTAACATCATCTCCAGGTACAAGGTAGAGCCTCACTAGCCCATCTTTGTTGACTCAGGTTAAATGAAGTCTCTAAAGGGAGGCAGATTGGCCAGATGTGGTGGCTCACGCCTGTAATCCCAGCACTTTGGGAGGCCGAGGCAGGTGGATCATGAGGTCAGGAGATTGAGACCATCTTGGCCAACATGGTGAAACCCTGCCTCTATTAAAAATACAAAAAATTAGCCGGGAGTGTTGGCGCACACCTGTAATCCCAACTACTGAGGAGGATGAGACAGGAGAATCGCTTGAACCCGGGAGGTGGAGGTTGCAGTGAGCAGAGATCATGCCACTGCACTTCAGCCTGGGTGACAAAACAACACTCCATCTCAGAAAAAACAAAAAGAAAACAAAAGAAAGGAGATAAGAAGGGAAACTGACGTTCCAGCCATGCAGGGCCCCAAGGGTTTGTTTGTTTTTTTTTTTTTAATTTCCATTTATTTGAAGATCTATTAAGAACCTACTAATGTCAGACACTGGGAATGCAAAGCTGGATAGGATATAATCCCGACCCTACAGGAAACAAAAGTCTAGAGGGACAGTATCAGCTTTAAAACTAAGGAAAAATACATCAGCCACTGTTCTGGCAATTGGACTGCAGGCATCCTGCCATGGCTAATGGAATCTCAGGGCTCTGAGCTCCCAACTGCCCAGTTAAAAGAAAATCCCTCTGCAGAAGTCCCTGCTACGGTTTGTCTTGGGACTCCTTGGTAGGCTGGAAGGCGGTGGTAGGGTGGGACTTGGCTGTGAAGGCCAGGTGGATTCCCATGGGGACTCTTCATACTGAAGCTGCTCTTTTGGACCCAAGCTACCTTCACGGGCCAAGGTCACAAGGCTTGGGAATCTGCTAGCTGCTGTCAAAATTGCATATCCCTGTGAGAGCTTCACCTCTGGTTTCACAGTGAGAAGAAGACAGTTGTCCCCACCTGACCCAGATGGGAACCCACAGTGAGCAGTCTGGGGCCTTGATTTCATTTTCTGTGGCTACTGTAAAAAATTATCCCCAACTTGTGTGCTTGGAACAACATGAATGTATTACCTTGCAGTTCCGGATGTCAGGGGTCCAGGATGAGTCCCACAGGGTTAAGAGCAAGATGTTGGTAGGACCGGTTCCTCCTGGAGGACACGGGAGAGAGTCTGCACCTTGCCCCTCTTCCAGCTTCTAGAATTTGCTTTATTTATTTATTTAGGAAATGGAGTCTCACCCTGTCACCCAGGCTACTGGCTCGATCTCAGCTCACTGCAATCTCCACCCCCCAGGTTCAAGTGATTATTTTGCCTCAGCCTCCCAAGTAGCAGGGACTACAGGCACCTGCCACCACTCCCAGCTAAATTTTTGTATTTTTAATAGAGACGGGGTTTCACCATGTTGGCTGGGCTGGCCTTGAACTCCTGACCTCAGGTGATCCACCCGCCCCGGCCTCCCAAAGTGCTGGGATTACAGGCACGAGCCACCATGCCCAGCCCAGCTTCTAGAATTTTCCCACTTTCCTTTCCTCGTGACCCCTCCCTACATCACTCTGACTTCTTGCTTCTTTTGCCAGAGCTCCCACCACTGCAGTCAAATCTCCATCTCCCTCCATATAAAAACCCTGATGAGATTGGGCTCACCAGATGACCCAGGATCATACTCCATCTCAAGATCACTCACTTACACCTGCTAAGTTCCTTTCACCATGTAAAGGAATACACATATTCACAGGATTTTGAACATGAGCATCTTTGAAGGCTAGAGTTCAGCTTACCATAGACCCCGACGCATTACAACCTAGTGCCAGCTCTTTTGGTTCCCACATGGCCCCCTTTCTCCCTGGATGTGGGCACCATAGCCATGGTTGGTGAGAAACAGGCTCTGTGGTGGTCATTTAGTGTGTGTGCCAGGCACTGGGGCTATGACAACAAGAGAAACTAACAGTAACTTCATGGGGCTTGTGTACTACCCATGGGGGTGACAGTGATTACACAAACCAGTGTGTCATGGACATCCAGGTAGTTACAAGGAGTGGGCTTGAGCAGAGATGCCTTCGGTTGCTTCTGTTTTAGACAAGGTGGGGGGCAGAGTCTAGGAAGACCTCCTGGGGGAGGTGTCCTTTCACAAGATACAACATGAAATGAGGGAAGACAACACAGGGAGGACGGAGAGGGAGTGTGCCAGGGTGGAACAGCCGGGCAAAGTCTTCACTGAGAAAACAGGCTTGGCACATTTGAGGAGCAGTCACCCTGGGGTCCCCAAAACAGCCTCTCCCCTCTGATGGCCCTGATGATCTAGCACAAGTCCTGGCTCTGGGAACAGAATTTGCTCTCCACCATGAGCCCCTGCACTGCTGCTATCCCATGGCCCAGCACACCCCACTCCCTGCAACTACCAGCCTGAGCTGGGACTGCCTCTCTGTGAACCACCCACCATGGTGGGCAGAGCTAGATCTTCCCCTCCACACACCCCACTCCAGGCAACCCTTTAATACCTAGCCTTTCCATCTGCTGCTGCTGGGAAACAGGGATAAATGCCGCCACTGGTTGGGGAAGCACAGGTGCACCTGTGTAGACCGGTGGGCTCCTCCTGTCACCCAGCACCTGCATTTACACCTGAGTGCACAAGCTCTAGGGTGGCGGCCGGACTGGGGGCGCATACACAG